ATAGTATATATCGTGTGTGTGTGTGGGGGGGGGTGCGTGAGCGTGCTTGCAGTGCGTGAGTCGCGTGTGTGTTAAGAAATATATTATGCAAATAACAAAGAAAGGGAGAAGAAGAGAAGAAAAGGAGAAAAAGCTAACGCTGTTCTATTAAATAGGCAAGCGCCTGGCGTGTACGTTTCTACGCTATTAGTACAGGTTTCTCGTGAGTGGGCGATGTGCGAGATTTTCCTAATACATGAACGCAAGCGGGACACATGCGGCGGGCTCTGTGTGAAATTATGCGCTCGTAACAAAAACAAGCACAATCTATATCCAATGGCAGGCTTGACATCGTAAATACACAAGCCGCGCGACGAGATATTACAACGAAAATATCAATAATACGATGTATATTTCAGCCGTTTTATATTACCAGGCGGAAGATCGAACATTCATATATATATATAATGAATATGGAAGCAAATATTGTATCGAAGTCCTATTACGTATCACCGTACAGTAGCCAACGTGTAAATATACCAGCGAGGATAACCTGCATAACTAACCCGATTAGTGGCGAGGTGAGGACTCTACCGTTATAATCATGTAGTGCGAGATCAAAATGTAGAATGATGTATGGAGGAGGAGGCACATGTTGACAGCCTCTCCTTGTCGATGCTGCGTGCCGGTGGCTTCAGGCCACGCGCCCACTGTTTACCCTATGATCCTTCGGGCGATAGCGGAATGTAATGCGTTAGGAGATACTCGCGGGAATTACCAAGCTGGTTAGGGTCGGCAATAGAACCACGCAAAAGAGAAAATCATGACGCCAACACAGCAATGAATCTATATATTATATATAAATATAATATATTATATATATATATATTATCCACACAACACCCACACACGCTGAAAAAATCCTAGCTACGCCCACTGTTTAGCGTACGAGAATGCATTGGCGTGTGAGAATGTGGTGGCGAGGGTGAATCGTATGCCATCTGTTCCTCACACAGTGGAAGTGGCCGAACACTACGATGAATGCAACTTCTACCGCGGCCTCGATGCGATCATGTCATGTCTACGGGACACCAACGCCTTCATCCAAAGTCAGGCGCCATGGACGCTGAAAAAACGTCCGGAGAAGCAGCGCCACCTACAGACTGTACTTCACATCGCGCTAGAGAGCCTGCGAGTCAGCGGACTATTGCTGCAGCCTGTGATGCCCTCCTTATCTGATTCACTGCTCACTCGACTCGGGGTGACACCTAGCGAGAGGACGGCAAAGTATTTAAATTGTCATTGGGGTGATAAGGGATGCAACTCGCCCTATGAGAATCGGCCACTAGGTGGCGACAAGAGCGTTTTGTTTCAGAAGATTGTGACTAAGTGATTGGCAGTATTCTCAGAGAAATGGGATTTTAACTACTACTGTGCTAGGCTGCATGTGAACTTATGTGATATGTGTGTGTTCCACAGACATGGAGGCACACAACATCAACTCACCTTGAGTTGGTTTGTTCGCAATGTACTTGTAATAATTGTACAATGTAGTGTATAATATGTAAAATGTAATAGTTTTATTGAACAAAAATGTTGATTTGATGGAACCGAATATACTCCATATATTGTTACATTGTTGTATCTTGAATTTTATATTCGATTACCATATCTTGTTTACATTCTCTGTTGAGTTCAAGTTGTGTATCAATCTACTTATGAATAAGCACCGATTATACTCGCATCTGTGACCATGTTTGGATCGGTGGAGACACCGACGAAATTATCATCACCATCACCGTCGTCTCTGTATTACAGTAGTATTACAGTAGTATTACAGTAGTATTACAGTAGTATTACAGTAGTATTACAGTAGTATTACAGTAGTATTACAGTAGTATTACAGTAGTGAGCAGGGATAGCTGGGCTTCATTAGTTCCTATCGAATTTTGTCCTTTACTCTTTATAGATTGTACTCACTCATTCTATAGAATATTCTCGTTCACTCTCTATAGAATTTTCTTCTGCGCTTCCTCCAGTCCATAGGATTTTGTCCCTTGTTCTCTATATAATGTTCTCCCTCACTTCCTAGAATATTTTGTCATTCACTCTATAGAAGTTTCTTTTGCACTTCCTATAGGATTTTGTACCTTATTCTTTATAGAATGTTATACCTTACTTCCTATAGAATCTTCAAGAAAACACTGTGAAAACGTATAGTTCCCCATGAGATATGGCTGATATTTTTATTATCGGATACTTGTTACGCTCGTTCTCTGCATACTGGGAATTTACCATTTTTCGATCTATTTTTTGATGGAGGAAAAAACTAGTGCATACTGCATACTGCATACTGCGCATTTTATTTTTCTGCCTAACTGGCAACGTGCTGTGTTTCCGTTTCTCTGGCTGCAATAATCCATGTTTCTATCTGCTTCTATCTTTCTATCGTATAGCAAACTCGCTCGTTCGCGTACAAACTGCTAATTGACTTTCTACTCGGCACATCAACCGTCCACGGAAGCCACCCTTGACTAGTTCCCGTTGAACTGTCACGTCGCGCAGAAAACTCTGTCAGAATAAAACACCTTATAGGAAAGGAAATTAGAGAAGTGGGTACTAATAATACCGGCTTGATCACATTTCTCGCTCTCTCTAATAACAGCTGCCAGAAACGCTTATATTTGTCTGTCGTATTTATTTACGTCGTTATTTCCTCCGCCAAGGAGGTTATGTTTTCGCCCCTGTTCGTTTGTTGGTTTGTTGGTTTGTTTGTCTGTGAACAGGATATCTAAAAAAAAGTTATAGACGGATTTTGATGAAATTTTTTGGACGGGTTGTTCTTAGGCCAACAACCAATCGATTCGATTTTGGTGGTGATTCGGATGCAGATCTGAATCAAGGATTTTGTTTTAAATTTTTATAATTTTTTTTTGGAGATGCATTTAAAATTCGTTAAAAAAATCCTGGATCTTTTTCTTTTTTTTTTCAACTTTCTGACAATTTCATCAAACTATATTGGGTGTTCGAGCAAGATGGTGGGACTGTTACGCTGTAGCGGAGGTTTGCTATCTCCGATTGCTCTTGTTATAGACGTGTTTTTTTACGCGTGCTGTAGCGTACGCGTGGTGCAAACATGCTGCTGCTGCTGCTGCACCTGCCACGTCACACGCAATGATGTCCCCTAATGGAGCCATATCTAGCAGCTGTCGACAAGTCCTTGTAGACACGCACGCACGCACTCATGCACACACGCACACACACACACACGCACACACACACACACACACACACACACACACACACACATTCACAGAGAGAGCGAGAGAGACGCACGCACGCGCACACA